CTAGAGGTTTCCACAAAGCTTGTCAGAGCTCAAGGTGAGTCTCACCTTGAACCCACTATGACTTGATGTAGAAGGTCTCCTATTATTGATCACTGACTCTATTTCTCTTCTTCTGACTTCCCCAGTTATGTATATGTTTCTATATGGAGGGCAATATATACCAGTCCTTAGCTGTGCCCAGAATTTGAAGGAAAAAATGTCATTATCCCAAGTACTGCCACTGTCATTTCTGTTCTCAGCTTAAATTTTGACATCACTTTGTTGCTTTAAATGCAAGTGATCATTACATAGCACAGTTTAGTCAACAGAATTTGGATTTTTAAATACATTTCCTTTATATAATTTAAAGAGAGGAAGTTTTTTTTTAAAAATCATTGGACACACTGTTGTCTGAAAGGGTCATTCTCATGTGTGAATGTGAATAATAACACCTACAAATGCAAATATTCCTTGCCAAATTGGGCTGGGCAAGTAGTATCTACCCAGTGTTCATGTGTGGATGAAATTCTGTGGACAACTGCAATTCACTCGTACTTGAAGGTCCATTGGATGTACAGCCTGAAGACTGGATTGCTGTGAATTTCACTGCTTGACCAATATTTTGTATTAAGTGCTTTACATACAAACACAGTAAGTTGGTTTTGCTGTCATATTAAATTTTCCTTAAAATATATTCTCAGTGATTGTAGTACATTACAAAATAAATGAGCCAAAACCAGCTCAATACTGCACTTGAATGACACCTGCAGAATTCCACTGATGTCAGTGGCATTACATTTCTTTTCTTCCATTCCTAGAACACATTATGCAGACCAGCGTAGGCTAATCTGCATGTGACAAACAGTGCAACAACAGTCCCTTCTGCTGAACACAATCATCTTGTGCAAATTGTGAAACCTCAACAGCTAACAAAAAACACTGAAAAATACAATGACTCTTTTAAATCCAGAAATCACTATTTTGGAAGGGTGTTCATATCATGGGAAAAGATTGGTGGTCCATCAACATAAAAGTGCCTACAGATCAAGGAAACAAGTACAGGCTTTTGTGTACAAGTACCATTGATTTTTAACCCCCAGTTTTCTTTAGAGAGTTTTCCACCCTTCATTCCAACCCTTTTCCTTTTCCAGCTTGAGAACACTGTTGTCCACGGAGATGCCTGTTTCGGGGGGGATGACGGGCAGAGGGACACTTCAGCCACCACACAGCAGGGTGCTGTAATGTAGTCAGCACTCCAGCAGTTGAGTATCAGCAGACGCAGTTAAATCAGTCATAACAAAGCAAGGTCGTGATTTTCCCTGCTTCCAACTTTCACTTCTCCACCTTATAGTGATCTCTTGGAAATAAGAGCAAAAGACTACTCTTTGAAATATTCATCAGAGCTCTCAGAACACATTTACTGCTGTCTTTTCCCTTTGGGGAAGAAAAATTGTAATGTCTGCTGTGCAGAGCAATAGTAGATAATCTTTGATGAAATGGCAACATGCTACTTACTGAGAAGTATGCTAAGAGCTATGAAATACTCAGTGTAATCTCTCTGAGGCAAGAGGCACCTTTTTATTTTTAATTTCTGCAGTTATTAGTGCAGTTGGGTTCTGGATGACAGCTACTACTGCCACATTACTAGAACTAGTTTATTGTGTTTGTATTATTTATTAGGGTTGTTATTGTAGGGACTACTGTTACAGTGGGATTTAATTAAAATACATACAATGACAACTGAAACACCTCCATCATTTCCTGTTTTTTAAAAATCTACTTCTCAGTAAATCTATTCTACTAATTCCATTTTCAAAGAAGCCTCAGTTGTGAGCATACAGAAAAGCACAGTGCTGTGCAGTGGAAGGTGCACTATATGCAGAACAAATAACTTTAAACTCATGGAACTGACTGCTTGTTATTCACATATGTTTTGTGTCGTGTGCTCACCATTTAGCAACATTTGTCATTGATTACCACATAAAGATATTTGAAAATCTTTGTAATTCCCTGAGTTTAGGATGATGGAAAATTCAGAATCATAGATTTATATTATACATTCACATTACATAAATGTTCGGTATCTAATGACAAGTCCTATATAGAGATTTTGTTTGCAATGTCCTCCTGGGTTCCTCCCCCTTTTTTTTTTTTTTCTGTTTTAAACTCTCTTGGTTCTACCAGTTCCCTCTTTAGCAGACAACAGTTATATTAGGATTAAATTATACTTCAAAGTTTAACACTTAAAATGTAGAAATTGGGCCTAGAAAGCTGACTAAAATATAATTTCCTGAAGGAATTCCAGTGCTTCCATTATGAGTTGCTGACTAGGATAAAATAATATAGTATGTGGCATTTCTAGATCAAACCTCATTTCAGAAAGGATCCAGCCTGCTTTAAGAATGTTATTGCTTCCCTTTTGTCTCCTCTCTCTTTTGTTCCTGTGTTTGTATATGTTCATGTGTAAGTATTCTGAGTATAAGAACTATCTCTGTTTTTCTAAGTGAGTAATTTTAATACTTGCCAAAATATCACCCCTTTGGTTTGGAATACAGCAGATCTTCAACAAAGCAAAGTAACACAACAATTAGCAATGTTAAAAAATATAAGGAAGACAGCTTCTGATGAAGACCGATGCCTTTTTTTTTGTAACCTGATTAGGATTTCTACCTCTCAGTTTATCAGGTCAAGAAGCTACACATTTAAGCTAATCAAAATATCTAAGTCACAGTGGCTGACATGGACTGTTTGATTTGTGACAGCACATTTTGCACTTCAAAATAGTAGTATAATAGTTGCACAGTCTTAGAGAAAACAAGATGAGTGGCCCACGTGAACTGCTAAAGACTATAATCCTTTCAAAATGAATGACATTGTCTTTAAAACAAGACCGATCTTCTAAGATATAACATCTCAAAGCAGAGAAATGGAATCACTTTGCATCATTAGTTTCTCCAAGGCTTTGCTCCAGGAAGAAATCTTGTGGTCTTGGTAGCAACATTATAAACAGTTTCAAATGTTCCAATAATACATATAATCAATTTCTTTCCTTTCTATTACTTTCTGTGTATAGTACTAGCAGTGGATGTCAGGTTTATAAGAAGATGTTGTAAATGTCCACAAAAAGTGGGTAAAGAGTTGCACACTCTCTGTTCTAGGAGACTATGCTGTTCCAGTCAGGGATCCTGGTATATGAAGGCAGGGGGGGCACCAGGTTCCTTTCTTGGTTTTGGATTCTTTTTTTAACCCCAGAGTGAAGGGAAGGTCCTTTTGTCAACTAGAGAAAGATGGTGGATGAAAAAGAGAAGCGTGTAAAAATACTTTCAAAGATGCTGACCACAAAACTAAATTTGCTTTTTCTTCCTATCAGGCTGTTCATGAGATTCTCAAGGTGAGAAATGAGTTTCCTATAGCCCCAAGTAGCCCTAGACCATAGAAGAGACAGATATGGGTATTGCCTCCAGCACTGGGCAAAGCTGTCCAGTTCTGGTGTGGCCTACTTAAATAAAGACCAGAAGGAGAGGAAAATTGTCAGTGACAGCCATGTTTTAATCAAAAATACATCCTGTAAACTCTGATTTGATAAATTTAACTAATGCATATGATTAGATGCTGAAAACCCTAATTTCTGTCAGGCAGTTGACCCTATCACAAAAAGCTTTCTGTTCATTAGATTAGCACTCAAAAAGATCAGTAAAAAAACACAACTTGCTGAGTTTGAAGGAGCTGACAGATCCCAAGCACTTACTGTTAATGGGAGAGCATTATCGTAGGGATTGTTCCTGTGAGATTCTTAAGGTATTGGTGCCAGATCCAACTACGTGCTCTCCTGTTTTGGAGGCATATATACAACCACTGGCCTAGAATTTGCCCATGGCAGAAAGTTTGGCAGAATGATCAATAGAGAATACAGGAAAGTCAGACAAAGCTTTCTGAATCACCCTGTAACCTGGATTTATCACTGCAGTGCTTTAATACCACCAACATCAGATATCTAAGCATAAGTAACACAAGTCACAGAGTACCCTGGAACCATTGTTTCCAGAAAGATTTAGAAATCAGCATAGATCAACATGACCTCAGCAAGACAAAGTGTGTTAGATTTAAACATGGTGGTAATGATGTGGTATGGACTTGAATTTGACACTTCTGCTTGATATTACTTTGACTAGAATGCTAGGCCAATTTCCAGCACTGGTTTTTTTTTTTCTTTCTTTTTGGGATGTTGAAAAAGTGGTGACAACACAAAAAACCTGACAGATTATTCAACTGTTGAGGAAAACAAAACAAAAAAAAAAAATCCAATTTGTTATTGTAATGATAGCTACAAGGTGCTTTTATTAAAGTATGTGTGGGCTTTCAGAGGCAAAAGTTTGGAGAATGTAATGAGACAAGAGCAACAGCCAGAGAAATCCAGAATAGAAATAGAACACTTTTTTTTTTTTTTTAAATAAGAAGGGAAATTAAATGTGCGAGGGGAAAAAAGCCCAATGAACCAAAAAGCTGAAGAAATAGTTCTTTTTCTCTTTTATGGCTTCAAATTAAGGCTTAAAAATGCTTATTGCAACACATAAACGATGATTGAAATTCTTTTCCCTATAATACTGCAACTAGCTGATGACAGCAGGCTGTGCAATACTTACTAGTGTTATGACTGTGATATCAACAAAGGCAAAGGTGATCTAGATTGAATACTAGCACAAAGTAGCTAGTGGGATCAAGATGTACACTGGGAGATTGCAGGATGCCTTGCACTGAGACGTTTTAGGATCAAGGCAGGTGCTCTAAGTGCTATCTTTCTTCCCGTATATATGAAGTCACTCCACATGAGTACTTGAGAGACCTTCCACTGTTGCCATTGAGTTGTGAGCAAAATGTCAGATCTTATGTGTATTTCATAATAGCCCTATGGTGAGGTGAAACATTTGCTTCTCATTAAACAGAATTTGTCTTGGACAGAACATACTGCTTTTGCTTACCTGGCTGTGGACATAACTTAACTTGCTCTCTTCCTCCCACAGGTTTATTCCCGAGGCTTGGTCCACCTGTAGTGTCACTTGTGGAGTGGGCAGCCAGATGCGGCTTGTGAAATGTCAAGTGCTCCTCTCTTTCTCTCAGTCTGTGGCTGACTTGCCCATTGATGAATGTGAAGGTCCCAAGCCTGTGTCTCAGAGAGCCTGTTACGGTGGTCCCTGCAGTGGGGAGGCAACTGAATATACCCCAGAGGAAACTGAGCTGCTGTATGGTAGCTTGCAGGAGTTTGATGAGCTTTATGAATGGGAATATGAGGGTTTTACTGAGTGTTCAGAGTCCTGTGGAGGAGGTAAGTGCAAAATGTTCCTGTGCTGAATTTGCTTTCCCTCTTCAAGCGTGTACTTTGGAGTTAATGTCTATGGACATTCTGTTTTGCTAGAGCTATTTAGAATCATGGAATCATTTAGGTTGGAAAAGACCTTTGAGATCATTGGGTCCAACCATAAGATCATCAAGTCCAACTTTATTTGAAAATGCATGGATGAAAACTGTGAAAAAAAACACATGTGCATGACATATTTTAGTCCAGAACTTTCAGGCTGTCACCAAGAGTGATCAATGTATCACATGTTTCTGTTTTCTTGTATCAGCTGATCACACAAAAGGCAAGAAAAGAGGAATGTGAAAGTCATCTGGTGATACAGGCTAAGAATCACATGCCACTTTTAGTTTATATCTATTGATTAGTAATGTGCAAGTATAAACATGTGGAAGTAAATTGTCCTCCCATAGGAGATCCATTAAATTACTGGTACTGTAAGGGCTCAGCTGGTTCCCTGACTCCTATCACTAAGTGACATTAGCTCTGATCCCAGTGCAAAAGAAAACATGGTAAAAAAGCACCACTACTGTGATTGAAGCTAGCAGGCTTAGCACTTGGGAGTTTCTCAAAGTTAATCAAGGTCTCAGGTTCCACATGTTATAGGCTGTTAATGCACAGTTCTCTGATATCCATTTTTTCCCCATCATTTTGTCTAGCTAGTTCTGAGAAATATGGCCACTTCAGTATTTTATAAATTAAACCTAGTCTTCTCCAGCAGCTGTCTTTTTACACGATAAGTTTTACAAGTTGTCTTTTTACATGACAAACTTAAAAAACATGGTAGAAAGTAATGCAAAGTATTTCTATGCTTACTTTTAGCTTGCTGACAGTCATCAGTATTTAGAGCATCTCACAGAGAGTTGTCAGACCATTGCCACTATTGCTTTGTTTCCTACATTAAAAATATGACAGTAATGTATGCTAAGTGGTGACAAACACTTTTTTGTCAGTATTTGTCATATACTGAGGCTACTGATGAGCAGTAACAATTTGTCACACTTATACTGTGAACACTGAAACCTGCATAGCTTCTAGAAATACCCTCTTTATATTCTTTGCTTTGAATATAGTGACTATGTATGTATTTTTCAAATATAACTCACAGATACTGATTTGGCAGAGGTGTTTTGCTTTATAAATTTAATCTCTTTCAATTGTCAGCAAAAATTGTTAGTCAAGATTTCTTTTTGTTTGACATCAACTCCAAATTTTCCAGATTAGCAGATGCTAAATCAGATATTTTTGCAGCCATAGGTGCAAGACCAGTCAAACTAATTTTATTGGTTTTGAGGTCTCAAGAGAAGAAATTGGATAGATGCAGAAGTAATCTTTCACCTCACAGAAGTAACAACCAGAAGGAATTAGTTAGTCATTTAGTCTGTTGTTAGTGGCTGCATTTCCCAGAGCTGTCATCAGATATCATGTAACAATTATTCTATTCTGGTAGATATAAACAGAAAATCTCATTTGATGGTATTTTGAAAGTGAACTTAAACTGCTTAGATTCACATCCCACCCTTATATCCTTTTATACTCTGATTTCTTGTTGAGAACTGATTTTTTTTTTTTCAGGAAAAGCAATTTTGAAGAACATAACTTTTTATTTTGGTAATACAGTGCAGTAAATAATGTTTACAATTCAGTTACTTGACAAATAGACTTCTTGAAGTTCAACTTTTTTTAGTTATCTCTGTACCATGGAACTTCTGACAGATAATCAAATGTGTTTATATTCTCTAAATGTTCAATGATCCATCCTTGTTCTAACGCTTATAACCATTTGCCACATTGACCTATCAAAAACAGAGAGACATATGTTATCAGTACGCTGAAACACAGCGTGAGATTCAAGATCTGAAGAAAGTGATTCTGAGCACATTTGTCTACTGCCCAGATTTTGTTGTTTGTTTTTTTTTTTTTTTTTTTTTTTTAGTAGCTGGCACAAGCTATTCGAACCAGGAACTTCTGCCAATACGTAGTATAGCAACTACAGACTGCTTAAACTCAGGCAGGAGCCTTTTTCTCAATACCTGTGCTGTCAAGTAAAAAGTTGTAAGAATCTCTGAAAGCAAATTATAATAAGCAGAGTAGGATGCTGGTAGGATAGACTCAAATTACTGGAAATACAGAGATGACTTATGTGACAGGAATAAGCATGGGGAATGAACTCACTGGGAGGTTTGGAGCAGGTTGAATACTGAAAAGTGATGAGCCGTAGTATCAGAGCTTGGCTGTGTGAATTTGATAAAACAAACCAGTCAGTCTGAGAAACAGAGAAAAGGCTGAATTCAAAACCTCATAATCAATCACTTTTGGATAGACAGCACTGAAATAGACAACACAAAAGTATCAAGGTAATTGATAATCATTGGTCAAGAGCTTGCTTGTGACACACTTCAGAGGGGAGAAATGGAAGCTGTGGAAGTACACTCAATTTACTAAATTTTGATCTGAAAATAAAAACATCCAGTACATATAGATGGTGAGCGAGCTGTATCCCTAGCAAACATAATGTGGCAGGACTCAGGTGGTTTCTTTCCACCATATTAAGAAGAGTACTTTTCCAGTTTCCATACCTCTGGATTAGAGGTCCTTTTCTCCTGGCTTCATCAGATTGGTTTTACTGTCAGGCCTGCACAAGTGATCAGTGCAAAGTAGAGACCAGTAACTTGAGCACAGTGCCATTTCCCGTCAGGTAGAGAACCACCTTTGTTCCGCAGCCAGGAGCAGTCTGTCCTGGGGAATCCATATGCTTCTGTTTGCTGTACACATGCTCAACAGAAAAATGATGGAACTGGAAAGAACATGACAAGGTAGAGAATATATTGTTTATGTATAGAAAATCAATTTGTTTCCTTTCCTAGAAATAAATCACTCCCATTTGTTTTATTCTTTCAATAGGCTATCCTTTTTACAATTTTTTAGTCCTTTGGGAGATTACTTGCATAGCAAACCAGTTGAAAATATGGGCCCACCTTGTAAAGAAGGAAACCCACAACAACATTGGCTGACATCAGGGACTTTGGTAATTTTAATGTTTATGCCCATGTCCAAAAATTACATATTTCTTTCTTTTCTTCAGCACCCTGAGTGCAGTGGAGACACTTTCTATTCTTGAGTCATAGGCATGCCCAAAATAGGCTTGCACACATAAAAGCCAATAAATTGCTCAACATGCCACTTTGCTGTGGGCCTCTCCTCAGCCTGTACTAAGAATAAGGGGAATGAATCCATGAGTAATTTCAGTACAGGAACTACAATGAGTTGCAGCATTTTGGTCCTTTTGAATAATATGATATCATTGTTTGCCTAACAACATTTGCTGTGTCATCAGAAACAGCAAAAGGTATTGCCAGTTCTATTATACTGGTCTTGGAGCTGTTTAAGCTCTTCCCACCCTTTTTTTTTAAAAAAATTGATGTTTTTTAAAATACTGTGAGATATTTTGGAAATCTAATTGTTAGTTTTGAGAAGATGATGCAATTTTTATTACTTTAGCTAATCTTTTCCTCACTCAAGAAGTAGAGATGTATGTAAAAAACATACTTTCACTTTGCTTGAACTACTGTAAATTAGATTTTTAGGAAGTTCAGGCCAATTATTCTACCCTGGGGAAGAAGTAGATCCTCTCTCACTAAATACTCTTTCCTCTGGTATGTAGTGCTTCAATCCCTGATTTTCTAGTTTTCTAACATTGTGATCCAAAAAATCTGTAATATTCCTACCTTACTTACAGCAAAAATGAGACAGAGTAACTGGTATGCCAAAGAGCACATAAGAAATTTGATATCACCAATGATTTCCTGAGTTAAAACATAATCACTGTATCTTCCAGCTTCTCTCTTAGTCCCAACAGCTATCCTTGTTCTGCCCCAGCTCTCAGATACGCCAGGCAGACTTGCATCTTCAGTTTAATTGCAGGTCTGTGGATGCAGAAGAGTAATAGAGCAGCTGAATTGTCTGACCTTGTTTTACTTCACTTTTGCACGTATAACAATCATACTGATGCTTATAATATAGCATACCAAAGTCAAGGCCATCAAAGTCACCTTAGCCTGCTTGATTAACAAATAAACAGCTTCATCGCACTCATAGTGAAAGGATGAGTCACTAGAGAGCACTGAACAATTTTCTGTCCAGGGAAGGTAAGTGGTGAAGGACTTTTCACTGCAGTGGAGATCCCTAGTGAGAAAGCAAGGTCAAGTAAAAGCCCAGCATCCCACACAGTGTTTTGATCAGGCCATCATCTCCCAGCTGAGGAACAGGACACTAAAGGTGCAGTAAGCAGTGTATGACTGTGTCTGGAAAACTGCAAGAGTTACAGGTGAAGGCTTTTCCCAATAGAAGGGAGAAAAAGAACTGCAGTTTTCACTACTTGGTCAGGTACACCGTGCCAAGAAACATCCCCCCTTTGGTAGGCATTCATACCATACTCCTCAGAGACAATCAGGCAGAGTGCTTGGATGTGGACAGCAAACACCCCCCTGCGGTGTGGGAAGCAGCCTCCTCCTGCTCTGCAGCCAGGGCCGCAGCCCCCGAGCTGGCCACCCTGGATGTGAGGCTGTGCTTCCCCACACACAGCAGCCCCGGCATAGCCCTGCCAGGCCTGTCTCTGCCCTTGGTTGCCCCTCCAGGTACAGAGAGCTGACTGTGACTGTGAATTGTTGTGTGCAGGTGTCCAGGAGGCTGTGGTGACCTGCCTGAACAAACAAACCAGGGAGACTGCGAATGAGATGATGTGTGTAAGCAGCCGCCGTCCTCCACAGCTGCTGAAAGCCTGTAGCCTAGACCCATGCCCCCCAAGGTAGGCTTCTTATATCTTATCACCAGGCATACATTTTTTTTCCAGATTTAAGAGAGATGTGATCACTGATGAAGTTGAGAACCTGATCTTCAAGCTCCCCATGAATCTGAGATGTTGGATTAAAACATGCAGATGAGAGCCTGAGATGGCTCCCCAAGTTGCAGTACCACAGGCTCAGCTGCCTGGGCTCAGCAGATCTTTGTCACTCCCCCTGAGACTTCTTGTAACTGATATGAAGTGAGCAGAGGTGACTTGAGTGAGTGAAACTCTGCTGCTGCGTAAGGTAGCAGATCAGTGCAGCTGGGTCAGTGGTGTTATCGCATGTGAGGATACCAGGTCCAGGGCTCTTCGGTATTGTCCAGACATCGCTTAAAGGATTTTGAGGAACTCATGGCAAAAGCAAAACAAATGCAGAAATGTGGGTGGTGGTAGTCCAGTATGTTGCCCAGAGCCATTTAAACAGCACTAACAGTATGACAAAAAAAAAGAATTTTAAATTAGCTGTGACCCCAGACTCAATGCCCTCATGATCTGGAGGCATTCACTGCCTCACACATGCTCTTTCCCAGACTGCAGAGGCTTATAGCCACTTCACACCACAGTCATATTGACTGGGAAGTGCAAAGCCAAAGAGCAAACTACAGACTGCTTGCCTGTTCAGGTCCTGCAGTCAGACAGTTTATGTGTTGGCTTAACTTTACCCAGAGTTGTGCCAAGTTTAATGAGACTTCTCCAGTCTCCCTTCACAAAGGGTTTTGCAGAACCTCTTCCTCCCTGACTTCAGGCAGCTTCCACAATTCTGACCCTAAAAATATCAGATCTTTGTCTGCAGACATTTACATCTGTACCCTCTGACAGAAAATAGCTGTGACAAGGTTCCCATGGTTTATTTAAATAGACCTGGGCCTGTCAAGTCTTCAAGATGTACTGTATATATATTGTCTTTATTCCCAGCTGTACACAGATGCATTTACTCTCTTCTGGTAGGGTGGCAGATTTGAAATACATTGATTTATAACTTTGGACTGTTTAAAACTCTCAGTCCTGTCCAGGTGGTAGATATTCCTTAGAGTGTATATTGGTAGGTGTAATGTATGCTTTATATGACAGCAGGATATACAGAGGTGTATCATTATGAATATTAGAAGATTTGGGGTACACAAAGTTCATACTGAAAATCAAATATGGCATTAAATATGGCCAGCATCCAAGAATAATAGGGACAAAAATAGTGATTTGATTGGATCATCAGGGTTTTGAGTCTGTGACAAGCAGAGCCAAATAGGCTGACACATTTCACCAAAACATTACAAGAATTACTTATGAGGATATTACAACCCTGACTTTGTTAAATTGTCTGTTTTGCTGGCAGAAAAACACAAATATTATATTAATGATTGAAAAGAACTTTGGAGGTGGACATCCCACTGTAATTAATAGATAACAGCATCACTGGAGCAGAGAGTACGTGGTAGGAGATTGAGCACCCATCGATTCTGACACAAGAAATATTCAGTGGTTGAGAAAAAGAAATTACTCACTCATGTAGGCCAGTATTTATGTGAATTCTGTTACAAAGTAGTCTAAGAAATTGGGTGAATACTTTTTTTAATTAATATGTGTGGTAATCCATACCATTGTGGTGACTCTGCTACCAGAGCGGAGCTAGTTTAAAGCAACCTTGGGCGTGTAGTTCACTCCATGGATTACAAGATGATCTTACTGTAGGTGAGAATCAGACTGTGAAGCAGAAGTGAAAGGGGATTGAGGAGGTGTGGGGAGATTAAGAAGCTTTCACCTACCCCTAGGGCTGAAATTGAGAAAAGGGGAAATGACTCCCTTCCCTGTATATACATGTTCTTGCCCTCCAGCCCAATCAGTCTGGAGGAAATTGCGTGTTTACAGAGATTTAAGTGGCACAGGATGAAGAACAGCACATATTCTGCAAAATGGCTCCTCTGGTAAAAGCAAGGAGGCCTAAAACTCAAGGCTGCAGACAGCAAGCAGCGTGGCTAATGGAAAGAGAGGCAAGAATAAAAGTTGGTGTGTCTCCCAGGCAGGCTGTGACAGGTTAACTTCCTTAGTTCCTGCAAGCTTCTGAAGTGCAACATCTACTAATGCCACTGTATTAAATACAATGATATATTAATTAAACTGCTAGTATTTAGTATATAAAGATTGTTACTTTATAATCATTAATTACAACACTATTAAGACTTCCAAAGACAACACATGAAAAAAGAGGAAAAAAAAAACCCAAATTTTAGAGTTCTCTTTTTGTTTTAATCAAGAAGCTTAAGGATTCTAATTCAAAAAATCTTGATCCAATAATCTGATCGAAATTTAGGCTAAAATCCTGTCTTTATGAATGCTGATGAAGGAATTGCTATTGACTGACTAGTCCAAAACTTGTAATACAATGTGGCTGTGAACTTAGATCCCTGTTACAGAAGTTCCCAGAATGCAATCTGTGAACAATTGATACTTCCCAGAGATTTCTCTGATGGCTTATAGAGCTGGCTGGTCTCATAGTGTTGGCTCTTCTCTCTGTTTTCCATCTGCTAAAGTACATTAACAGAAGCTAAAAATATAAAACACACTTTCCCAAAATGTCCTTATTTAAGTGACTGTTGGAGCATGCAGTTGTGGTGGGTAGAGAAGGCAGTCTGCTGAAAAGGCAACTGAGACTGTGACAAATGTCTCAGTAGACAAGGGAATGTTGTCCACAGCATGAAGAAAAAGCTGAGAACTCTTGCCCAAGAGAACAAAAATCCCCTCCTAATATATTTAGAGAAATTATTCTAGTGATGTTTCTTGAATCAAAACAGCCCAGCATGCTTAGAATGTAATGGGTATGTATAGAATTTAATACAGATCTTGTTTAGCTGAAGAGGGAGAACATTTAAGAATCAGATCTTCCAAGCTTAATGTTGCTTCTGCTGCAGGCACTTTTGATTGAATGTGGCATTCTCCATAGGCTCTTAAAGGGTTAGTCATGTAAGCTTATCCTGGTCAACAATTGGTTTAGCTGGTTTGAGACTGATAAACAAAAACATTGAACCACAGAATCTAGTCAGACTTTCTGGAGTGTCAGAGGGCATACACCTCAAGATAGAATACTGTAGGAACAGTCAGTGAAGAGTAATTTCATACTGGTTTTGTTTCATCATTCTTTTTGGACACTTAAGAAGAATGATGCTAAAGGCATCTTCACTGCTGCTGTTCTTTTTGCTCCCTACTGAGAATAAATGTCGATAGACTAGAAGATTTCATTACTGACTTAATACTTCACCTTGAAAGTAGTCTGTGGTATCATCATCCTCTTCAACTCCTAATTGCTCTCATCTCTTCTGGAACAAAATATGGTAAAAGCTAGATTATACTGGTAATACTTCAGATTTATTAGAACACTGAAAGGTGATGGTGCTTGTATAGCAGCTGAGAGCGCTTTATAATTGCCATTGAAATTCTGGCTTAATATCTTAGCGCATTACTATTCCGAGTGTATTGAAGGGAGAAAAACTGAACCACAGGAATCTGTCTTCAGATATTCACAGCTGTATGGAGTCAGCAAATCTCATACTTAAAATTCTCACAGAAGAAAGAACAACCAGGAAGAACTGCACACAAAAAATTGGAATATTTCATCCATATTCAAATCCCAACGCAGCTGAGTTTCCTGTGGTTTCAAACTTTGTTGAGAGTTTTTTGCTTATTGCTTCAAGAACAATAGCAGAAAAATAGCCTGGTCCCTTTTCTCATGGAAAACAGTATAACAAAAATTCCCATTTTGCAGTGAACTAAGAAATAGTGAAACACTGTGGAGCTGATTGCTAAATTGGGAGCTAATAACTGATTTTCAGCACAGTATGTACAGAGTAAAATTTCGTATCATCAACTTGGTATTCCCATGTTTGATATTCCTGTAAAGAGGATATAGCTGTTTTGATGTGTCGGGAGGTGCAGCATGCTTTCTCCAGGAAAGAGAGGAATGAAGACTATGACAATTTTAATTCAGTCATTCAGTTACTTATTTTGTGTCAAACAAGCTGTATTGTTTCCAGAATTACATAGCAGTACTTGAGCAGAGCACAGTCTTCCCAGAAGTAAATGCAGAATAGCTGTTCAATGTCTAGAAATTTCTTCTCTAAGCTCAAAACATGATAAGTCAGCTCACTTAGTTTTGCTAATTGCTATTTTTGTATTCTAAATTACTACAAAAACAATCAGAAAAATCCTATTTCAGTGTTGTCTTTATTGTTTTCAACAACAAAGTGACTCAAATCCAAAATGTGTCTTTTCCATAGCCTCCACAACCCAAAATACAGAGGCAATCATCATCTAATCAGATATAATTGCTCTTGTTTATAATAGCAACAACATGAGCATCTCATGGTGAGTCAACAAAATCTACCAAAGGGGTGAAAGAGAATATTGTAACTGTGTTATTAATTATAACTGCTCAATAACTTGATCAATGCATGTTGAAAAGTTTTGGTAAACATGTATGGAAAAATAGAGAGAGAAGCAAAGCAATGAAAGCCAGATGGCTGAAAACGGAGGAAATTCCAGGCAATTTCTACAGCTTTGTTCTTTCATATTTTCAAAACTAATTTTTTATTCCTATACAAGAAAGAACAGATGAATGCTACAAAACCAAAAAGAAACAGTGAAGAAAAAGCAGGCAGTACTAGGAATAGTACGTGATTTCACCCCAACACTATCCCTTTACTCCTTCAAGTCCTTGTTGCTAGCAAGAAAATAGAAACCATCTGAGAGGTCCTGATACCTGGCTGAAGGGTCAAGATAACCCGAGTTAAGCTGGGATCTAGCTCATTGCAGTGTCTTCTTTTTCTCTTCCTTTTCTTTTCTTTTTTTTCCCCTCCATCTGCTTGTTTTGTGTTGTGCAATAAATTACCTGTTATTATTTTAATGTTTATTTGGTGAATGCAGTATTATCCATCTGTTTTGCTCAATTTAATTTCCCATATGAAGTCAAA